GGACTTCAAAGAAATTGTGGACAATGCCTTGACGCCGAGATGAGGAGGAAAGGATAGAGGATGGGAAATAAATTAGGATGATGGAGATCTGTGAGACAGTAAACAAAAATATCCAATCTGTAAGATCTGTAATCACCTTAACCAGTTGACTGAACTTAAATTGACATGCTAATGACATATAAGTGGTTGCTGATGAATCATGGTTAGTACAGTGCATGGATGTAGACCTAAACAAGCTAAGTCTGTCTGAACTCTATGACATGTCAAGCACACTTTAACCTGACCTTTCCACCATTATTCTTTCACTACTGGTAAAACCTAAATGCTAACATTACACTGCCAGTCTGTAGTCAGCTTTCTGGTGCCAAAAACATTTTGTACAGTGGTGAAAAGTAAATAAGTATTCTTCTCATAACTACTTATAAGTATCACTACTTATTCAAGTAGCTAATCAAGTATAAATCTGAGGTACGTCTTTTCTTCAGTGTTTCTATTTTGTGTTGTGTTGTAACTGTAATATAGCTTCAGTAATGATGTTCCATCTTGACAGGAAATGGTGTCAGATCACATGACAGAAATGATTTCACTTCTGAGAGAGTCTATGGTTTAAACAAGCCATGCTAGCAGCCCTGTGTGGCACAGAAATGCTTTTAAGCGCTCCGTGTCTTCTGGTCTGATGTGTTTGCATATTTATAACACAATGCTAACATGCTGAGGTTTCACTTTAAAAAAAAATTAAAAGATAAAGTCAGGGAATCACCAAAGTCATTAGGACCAATCGTCTGAGAACCATGAATGTGCCGATCCATCGTTAGAATTTCAGATATTGAAGATTATGAGCTGCTAGTGAAATGAGGGGAAGAGTCACAGGGTCACCAAAGTCAATCATTTTCATTGCAGTCCATCCAATTATTGGGTTAGGGTCCCTGCAGCTACTCCCATCCCCTGCAGCTGCACCGCTAACATGGCTGATGGAGGCCATTGAGAATTGTTGTCAGTCTTGTCAGTCTTTTAGCTACATTCATTCATTTAGTCCATATTATTGTTATCTAGAAAAGAAAAAAACAACCAAAAGAAAGAGTTGAGTTTTTTCTTCTTTCTGACATCAAATAGGTTTCATAACAATCTTTGTAGCTTCTCTGTCAAAAATACAGGACACATTGTGGCTCATTACACCCAGAGGCCCTGTTACTTCAAAATGCTCCACATATGATCTTTATTGGGCTGCAAGATGAATGACTATTATACCTTTAGTCAAGGACAACTTTAATTAGAATCAAAATTGGTTTTTATGGGGCTTTTACCTAAAAAGACACAATTCAGGTTTTAAGTTTAGCCTTCTTTTCATCAGCTCATAATATTGGACGTATCCATGTAGAAAGGAGACATTAATACTCCTTTCAACTGCTGCCATTTGCAATAATTAGCTCCACTGCTGCTAAGTGAACACAACAGCTTCTCAAAATGGATGCCGTCTGGCACACCAGCCATGGAATGATATATTACTGTACATTAAACTTGTTTTTATTCTCCTCCACACCCCATAAAGGATTGGATGGAGGAGGATAAATACAGAGAATGAAAGAAGACGGGAAAGGGAAGATGGAGGAAAAGAGATGATGAAGGGAAAGAGACACAGAAGTGAGAAAATAAAAAAAAGAAATGGAGGGAAACAGATAAACAGCCACGCACAGAGGAGGGGACAGAAAACTGTGTAGCCTTGTTTCAGAAATGCATCACATTGAACTAATAAGTGCAGCCTTGGCTACAAAATGTTTATGTAAAGCTTAAGGCTGATGAGTTTTGAGGTGGACATCAATGTAAACAGTGTGTAAAAATTTAAAAGTCAAGATTTATAAACAACAAACTCGGCCTGACCATAACTCCATTTGTTGAATGAATGAAATAACAAACCTGAAGAAAGTGAAGTGGTGTTAAAGACATTAGGGAGTCAGAGCAGCTCTACAGTATGATGATATGATGTAATTTGTTGAGGGAGCAATTATCCCAGTCCCCCCGTATTTCCTATTACTCCTGTTTTATTCAATTGTCCCCCACATTTTGTTTAAAGTTTGGTCACACAATTAAAAAATAGATCAGTACACAACGACGTGCGGTCGGCTACATTTTCACTCTGGCCCCTGAGACAAATTAAAGTTGCCTGTCAGTGGACTTAACTTTCTCCACACACACACACACACACACACACACACACACACACACACACACACACACACACACACACACACACACACACACACACACACACACACACACACAGTAAATGTAAATAAAAGTCCACTCGCTGAATCTATTTTACAACTGAAAATTGAACTTTAAAGTTTCTAAAGTTTCAAGTGGCATTATCTTGTAAATTACAGATTCTGTGTGTGATGATTAATATTCAGTCAGGTTTTAAGAGGGCTACCATTTAAAAGGCTATTTGTGTGTATCTGTGTGTGTGTGTGTGTGTGTGTCTGTGTTTGTGTTGAATCTACCCGTCATTCTCCTCCAGCTCATCATCACCTTTACTTAATCTTTTATTCCTTTACTTTCACTTTTCTTTCCTCCTCATGTCTCCACACCTCCTTTCCCATCTCTCTCTTCTCTTGCCCTCCTCTATATTTTCTTTCCTTTAATCTTCACTTCACTGTCAGATGGAAATGAGACCTTTACAAAGAGGCAGTGAAAAAAATCTGAGCGAAAGAGAAAGAAAAGAGAGGGGGCACTGAATTTTTCACCACTTCACCACGCATGTCCGGGTGCACCCACGTCCATTTCTGACTGCCGATGCGTGCGTATGTCTGTGATGTGAGCACATTTAAATATTTACTGCTCTCCGAGGACTGTGAAGTGTGTCAACAGGGCTAAGCATCCATGGAGAGCGGCGCGAGAGTGAGACCATGAGAGAGAGGAAGAGAAAAATACACAGAGTCTCCCAGCAGCAGAGCTAAACCAGTAAACACTGCATCAAACTGACAGAAGCTATCAAAATCAACAATAACAAGAGAAACAGGGAAGAGCGGGAGGCTGGAAAGCAGACTGGTGGGAGAGAAAGATGTAGAGAGAGAGGGAGGAGGAGGAGGTCCATGTGTGGTGTTTTGTGTTGACTGTGTATAACTTAAAGGTTCACTGTCTTCAATTTTTGAAACGGCAACATATGATTGTCCAATGTGTCACCTTGTGAGCACAGTAAGTTACCTGTATATCACGCCAGCAGTGTTTTATTGAAATTAATCCTCTCTGTTCAACAGTTAAATCCCATGTGCACCACAGATTCTCATAGTATGTTTTATTTTTTTTAATTATCCTATTCCATCTTACTGTAAAGAAAATTTATATTCTATATCTACTATCTCCATATCATTAATTTCAATAATCATTTGATATAGGCCGTTTTCACAGCTGACATCACCTAAATGAAATTCAGCATCATTAATTTTATTATTCACACCTTCTCTTTCCCTGCTACACATGATAAAAAGGTCTGTTTTTACTATTTGTTGTTCATTTTGCAGGTAGCACAACAGTAGCTTGCCATCACCGTATGAAGTTAACATGGCTAGTGTTAGCAAACAGTGCAAACCTATTTACGCATCCAGCAGATACAGAGCAACAGAATTCATCGTGAGTCACGTTTGTGGCCGCCTTCTAGATGTAAGGCCAATATTCACTCTCCTAGCTGTGGTTTGGTCTCCACTCGCTCCAGGGGGAAATAACTCGCTCTCAAGCACCTAAATACTCCGCTTTGTTAAGTAGCAAGTTGATCATTTTGGCTGTCTGCTGTTTGGTGCTGGGCAGGTAGCATTCAGAAAAGCGGGTGCCTGCTGTGCCTGACATGAGGCGAAAAGAAGCAGTGAGACTGACTGAACCAAAACAAAAAAGTGGCGGGCAATAAAACCAAAAGAATGAGCTGAAAGATGCTAAAATGCTCCACACACCTCGGGGGGAAATTCAAAGGGACCCCCTTATCAGTCATTTGATGTTCTGACTTAAACTTTTAAGCCTTTCCACCGTTAGCTGTGCAGCAACACTTAACAATATAAATGAACAAAATAGTACTTGGAATGGCTTCTACTCCTTTAGCAGTCAGCACACAAAACACCATCACAAAACTGAACACACTGACTGGAAAGGAGAAAAATTTACATTTTTCAAATAGTGAAGAAATAGGTTGCAACATGGAGGAGGAAGGTGGCGCAACCTTAATGTGAATGTTTATTAAACAAGACGTTCGCATTAACCTGAGCGACAGTAAACTGCACTGTGTGGGGAATTTCATTTAGCTTCAGCTGTTACACACACACACACACACACACAAAACTCTGAGGCCTGACGGTGCACAAGCCCTTGTCCCAGTTAACAAAGAACATCTCTCACACTACATAAAATCCCAAATCCCCTTGCCCCATATTTTATCAAGTAAAAAAAAGACAACATCGCACCACCACCAAGGCCACTGTTCCATTTAGCTAAATAAAAAAAGCTGAAAGCCCTTGGCCTATTTTTTTCCATGTTTGACAGAGACATAAAGAGTTTGAAGCTATTACTTTCATTCCCAATGACCTCTAGTTTCTTTCAGGGAGCCCCCCCCAGCACAAGGAGGATTAGTTTAATTTCACGATTTCATACATTCACTTGAAGATAACATTAAAAAAAAAAAAAAAAAAAGAGTGCAAAATAACTATTCTCAGAGGTTTTAATTCTCTGTGCGCCAACAGCAGACAAGCAGAAAATGAAAAACCCTCTCAGATGGAGATTAGTAGGACAAAACTGTCTCAGGCTGGGGTCTCTGGCTGGGGTCTCTGGCCTTCAGGACATGACAGACCCTTCCTGGCATTTACAGTAGTTGCATTTCCTCGTCACTGTGGCTAGGGGGAGGTGTAGGTTTACTGCTGAGCTACACTCTGCTGCTGTGTTGTCTTGGATAGTCTCTTTGCTGCAGCAGGCGGAGGCCAGAGGAGGAAGAAGGGCGGAAGTGAAAACAGAGAGGGGGCCAGCCGGCTGGATAAACCTCAGCTCGCTGCAGGAGGAGCGAGATCAGAGGTGACTCAAATACTGCTGGACTGTTAGTGTGAAATGTTAGGTCTGCTTTTTTTGAGGTATTTGAAAAATGTTATGTCCTGTTGCTATGATGATGTGTTTTGCATGTGCTTTGAGTTGTGTGGACTCTGAGACATTCACTACTTGTGTTAAAACCCTGAAGGCCATAGCATGTTAAGTGATGTTTATAATTATGTAAAAAAAAACAAAATAAGAAAAACACATTAACTGTAATTCCACTGTTCTGTATGTGATTCAGTGTCTGCACCAGTTACTCACAGCTGAACGTTTGTTTACCTATTGCATTACCTTCAGTCTAGTATTTTCTGTTTTCTCTTCTTTCTCAGATGCTGATTTGAATTAGGAATATTTACCACTCCAGACACACGCATACTTACATCACCATGGGCCAGATGTTCTCATCAGAGGAAGAGCTTTCTCAAGTGAAGGATGCAGTTGGTTCTGTCCTCTACAATGCCATGCTGGAAGGCGGTGCTGTGCCCGACCTCGGAGTGGTCCACCCTCTCCTCTTAGCCAATCGCGATGAGAGTCTAGACTCCCGGGCGCACCTCCAGGAACAACTGCAACAGGTTAATAATAAGATTTAAAATAAACTATGACTGTATGTGTGGGTGATGATGTTGCTTATGAGACATTGAGGAGAGTGAGCACGAGCGACCTGAAATAGAGACTGAGGGTGAACTGCTCATTGATTTCACTTTTAGGTCCGGTGAGTCATGAAGTGCAGATGAAGATGAACCGGAGGGGAAAGAAAGATGTTGTTGCCTTGAGACGGTTAATAAAAACAGCAACTGTGTAAAATGAGGCAGCTCTCAGTATTAGCAGTGAGGTCCTGTTGCGGATTGTAAAGAGCTCACAAATCAATACAACGGCCAACAAGGAGCAATACGATGATAACAAAATGATGCTGTTCACACTTTCTCTTAAAGAGGATGGAGAGCAATCTACTCACCTAGCATTTTTATTTTATTGAGACAGATGCTGGAGTTCTGTGCCATGAAGGTTTCTGCTCATGTCTCCTCATCCAGCTGCAGGGCAACATTGGGAACAGAGCGCCCACCTACCTGAAGGATCTGATTAGCCGCCTGACAACCTTCTCAGACGAGCCACGCCTGGCTGGCTTGGTGGGATTAGTGGTTACTATGGTGATGGATATGGTGTACACATCAAAACGGTCGTCGGGAGTGACGGGGAAATCAGCTGGGTCGTCATCAAGCCAGGTAAATAATGAAGGGTGTAATCCTTTACATATTTACCGATTACGAATCCCAGAATTTGAAAATCAACAACAAAAACGTATCCTATCCTACAATTTCCATCCAGCAGAGAGTCTGGGAGCTCCAGGAGGTGATGGAGGAGTACCTGAAGCGCTGTAGGATCAACCTGAACGACAAGAGCAAGCTGATCCAGGACTCTGTCAGACTTGAGGCGCAGTTCAGCCTCACGCTCACTCAGCTGAAGACCTGCATTCTGGGGGGAGACTGTGACTCCAGGTGAGTGAATACAGCAGAGCTGAGAGCAGTGAATTAGACGAGGGCATCATACAGCAGAGCGGCATACAGTGGAGGACAGGAGAGCAGATTAATATACTGTAGAGCACATTACACAAAGTAGCTGCACGGAGGTGAGGAGAGTACTATTATGACGGATTTAGTCTCACGGTGTGCAGAGCAGTTAAAGAGGAGTTTGTTCTGTTCCTCCAGGTCTCTGAGGCACTGGGCCAGTGCGGCAGCGTTTCACACCCAGATGTTGATTCACCTGGCTGCTCTTGAGGGTTTGGTCGAGCCCCTGGCAGCAAGGGCAGCGCTGGAGCAATACAAGGAAGATCTCACACAGATCATACCTGCTTACAGGTAATACAGCAGTACATGCAGCAAAACATAACTAAACCAGAGACTAATTCACTCTCTGTCCTTCTCCTAAGCCGAGCTGCTTTACTAGTGCAAGATAGAGGCGACAAACACTAGTTCCAACCCCAAAGTCTTCTCAGCATTAGAAAACTTACCAGACAAAGACGGCAGGACGTGCCCCAATTTTGTCACAACCTAGCTCAACAGTATGTGACACAGAGGGAGACCACACATAGTCTGTTCATGCCGATAAATGTTTTAATGAAGTAAATTACAAAAATGGAAATGGGGTGCGTCTGTCGGTATGTATGCAGTGTCCGTGTGAGAGAGTGGTGAGGAACAAAGGATGAGAACCGTCAGCAGGCCAGGGGAAGAGCTCTGCTTTATAGCCCCCTGAGCCCCACCTGCTCAGGTGTGTCGCATCCCTGACAAGTTCACAGCTCCACCCATCAGTTTCCTGAAACAAACAGGCAGAGCCAGCCAAAACAGAAGGACAAGACAGTGCTACCCCTGAGTCCGTCACACTGTCCATATGGATCACAAGTTGGGAATAATATCTCTTGCTTACTGTGTGAGCGAGACATGAAAGTTTTGATAGCAAATACTGATTTTTAGATTTTTCTTTTTTCCATTTTTGACCAAATGCCTGCTAGTCACTGACCCATATGGGGCCTACTACCTACTTCCATTGCCATTCATAGTTGTGAACGGACAAGCTTTGCAGGCATGTGAAAGGAAGTGTGCAACACACAGTGCAAGTAGAAACACTGAAGAGTTTCTTGACTTTGTGTTGTCAGACAGCAAACACACAGACACTTCAGTGGAGGCAGGATCCTACAGTAATAAAGCAAACTGACAGCGGAAACCACAGCCACACTGGGCCGAGCTGTCTGCTACAAGACAAGCTTCCCAGCCTGCTCCGAGTATGACAACAAAAACACACACAAAAAAAGAAGCTCATCAGACTGTCAGAAAAGTCTAGCCCCAAACTTTCAGCATGTGAGTAAAATGGGAAAAGCACGAAAGGCAAAACAGTTTCATCAATGAGTTTTTAAACCGAGTGACAAACAGGCAGCCCCTTAACCAGTAACCTAGCAACATCTCATCACTATAGTATCACAATGATCAATCCAGGTTACTGTCTATTTAAATATGCATTTATAAAGTAAATAAGTCAGGTTTAAAAAAAGTGATAAAATGATTATTCGGCTGAAATTTTCTGTTCCCTTTTCATCCATAACAATTCCTCCTACTGTCTCTTCATTACAGGAGATATAAATCTAATACAGTGTGTGTTGTGAAATGTCGTGGGGGTCTTCCGGCATCATGTGACCCCTCCGACGAGGTGCCAGAGGAGGGATCCATGACGGGACTCACTGTGACGGACAGAGAGACAGGAAAGAGTGTGAAGGTCCCTCTGTCCGCCTTGGAGACGGAGTCAGGTAGACTTTGTTTAAGTAACCAAGAAAAACTGCTTATGCCAGTCTTATCCAAGCTGTATTTAACTGAACTACTTTTAACTTCACAGGGAGAGGAAAGAGAGTCTCTGGGCCTGATAACACCTCTGTGTCCTCCTCCATTAACCTGGACCTGATCACCTCAGATCAGTACGCCCAGGCTTATTTGGAGCATCTGTTCTCTGGGAAGGGACCTGTGGCTGAGCTGGAGAACTACTTTAATAAGGCTAGAGATAAGCTGCGAACGCTGCGAACTCTACCAGGATGTACAAACAAGACAGGGGTGAGAGATGGGACAGAACAAAGTGATGGAGTGCATCTTAAAGACCCGGCAGAGGGAGTAAATGCAGAGCGAAGAGAGGACAGGGGCAAAGGTGATAAACAGGACAAGATGGAGAGGAGAGGAAGACAAGAAGAGACAGAGGAATGCAATCAGAGAGATGAAAGTTTGAAAATGAGTATTGTGGAGACACAGCCGGAGGACAGTCTCAATCCCAGTGTTTCCAGAGCATCAAGTACATAAAAACAGTGATCAGACAGCAGCCGTATCGTGTCTGTTCTCCACCGGAGAGGAACAACTCAACATGAAGGATGAAACATGAAGGATTTCAACAGTCTTGTTTGTAATTTATTGCTGGATTGAAGGTGAATGGCAGGTTTACTGATTTGTCTACTGCAAAACTGACATCAGCTTTGGCCAAAGATGAACTCAAAGTTATTTCTAATGTAAAGTAAATCTTTATAAGACGTAATAAAAGTGTGTGTCACTCATTTTCATCTGGACACTTTTTTTTGTGTGTGTATTTGCTCAGTGCCATAATATGAAATAACATTTTAAAAAATCACACACCACTTTTAATAAGAGTCTTTCACTTATAACAGATGTACTAACAGAGCCAGAACAGCCAAGAGGCTGATTGTGCTGCTCCCCTTAACAAGTAAACATCAAATCTCAGGAGCAAAAAAGCTACAGACAACAACCAGGCAATGATCTGTGCAAACCCAAGATTAAAATGCTATTATAGTTTTAAATTCACCATTTAGTAAAACTATGAAATGTTTACTAAATTAGTGGGATTTTTAAATTCCAGGTTGCGGGACCTTTGATGAGACATGTTACATTTGGCACTGATCATCTAAGCTGCGAGTTAAATCAAATGTTTGGCTAAATAATCCACTACAGACCTCAGATTTCCATATTCCACAGAACACACAAGCTAGAGATGCTGATAAGTCAGGCAAAAAAAACTGACATTACATGGTGCAAGTGCACTGTCGGTATGTGGCGCAAATATCCACTGTAAGCACGTTAGCAACACCTCTACCTTGCCTTGGATACGGAGGCAGAAAGTGATGAGCCAGTAAAAAGAAAAATGTCCAACTCTGCTCTCGTCGCAGCCTCTGGCAGAGATGAATATGTGCAAATCAAATTCATTTTCCCCCAGAGAGATTGCCTTTGAAACAGACATCATATTTGATGATGTGAATGATGAGCCCTGTAGTCACAGTGTAACCATGGCAAAACACATTTATGTAGTTCCTAATCGCGACAGATATTTCTGTCACACTGTGTTTCAGCCCTGCTCAAGTGTCAGAGGAGCTTGTTAATGTAAACCTCGGCTTGTAGTAAAGTAGAAATGTTGATGTTAATATGATGCTTCAGTTGATTAATGTAGTTGGCAGAAAAATGGACTCACATCACATGGCTGTGACTCTCCTGCGAGTCCAAACTCCTGTGGAAAGGTCACAATGCACGACAACCTGTCCGCCACCTGCACTGGACCGTTCTCCCATGTGTGCGCGACAGGAAACTCAAGCTCAAAACAGCCACTTTTTGATTGACGTTCACAGGAGAGATGGCACCTTTTCGTTGAGTGTTTTTGTCACTCGGGGAGGTTGAAAAGATGCTTTCTCTCTCTGTATTACGGTGTGCGATGCAGCAGGTGGGCGAGCAGCACAGGAAGGAGCCTTTTTTGTGGCGTTAGCTGGCAGCGCTGTGTGAATGTCAAGCCAGGAGGGAGAGTGAGTGTGTGTATGTGATTTGTGTGTGTGTGGGTGTGTTGGCATCAGTGTGTGAGAAAGAGTTGGGGATTGTGTGCATGCGTGCGTGTGTGTGTGTGTGTGTGTGATTGCATGCGTGTCAGTATGTCTGGATTAGAGAAATAGAAAGATGTGGAGATGTGAAGAAAACAGACGTGCAAATGTTGTGTGTGTCAAAGTGGGAGAGTGATTGTGAGTGTGTGTGTGTGTGTGTGTGTGTGTGTGTGTGTGTGTGTGTGTGCATAAACAGGAGGGTGTGTGAGTTACTTAGAGAGTCAGGGATAATAGCGATGGCAGTACAAAAAGAATGAGGGAGAGTGGTACAAGTGGTTGATGGTTTTCTGTGTGTGTGTGTATGTGTGTGTGTGTGTGTGTGTGTGTGTGTGTGTCAGGACTCACTAAATGTCGATGAATCACACTTCACAGCTCCAATTACTGGTCTCTGCTCAGCTAATGCTGTCTGATTGGTGTTATTACTCTCTCTTTCTTTTATTCTCTTCCTCCCTCGCTCTGTTTTCCGTTTCTCTCACTGGCTATCAGATTAGTATGACTTTATTATTTAGTGTAATATAGATTTGACCAGCGTTGTACACACACACTAATGTAAAGCCATACATTTAATTCATATACACTATACAGCAGCGCATTTAAAATTACAATAATTTGCTAAAAACTTAATCTTTCTTTCTCTGTTCATGTTATTTTTTGTTTATATGTATTTTTCTTTTTCTTGTACTGTTTTTAAATTGTTTTATTTTTGATATTCTCTCTCTACTTTCTGTCCCTGATCTTTACAAACAGTAAGTGGTCCATTATCATCAGACACTCACATCGATTGAGTTGCAAGGTAAAATGTTCTTTTCATAGCTGAAACATTAAGAAAGAACATTTCAACACAGTTCGACTGAAAAAGGTTGAATAGCACCGATCCAAAAGAAAGACTGAATAAACAAAGCAAAACATGGTTGGACACATCATTAAAGAGAAACATTTATTGCATGTGTTCTGGGTCTACCCCGAGGCCTCCTATCAATTGGACATGCCTGGAAGACGTCCATGGGAAGGCACCAAGGAGGATCCTAACCAGATGCTCGAACCACCTCAACCGGCTCCTTTTGACACGAGGGAGCAGCAGCTCTACTCCGAGCTCGCTCTGGATGTCAGTGCTCCTTACCCTATTTCTAAGGCTGAGCCCAGTCACCCCACGGAGGAAACTCATTTCACGTAGGAGGCCTCGGGCTTGACCCAGACCACGCTGGGGAGATCATATATCTCATCTGGCCTGGGAACGCCTCAGGATCCCCCAGGGATTGTTGCTGGGGAGAGGGAGGTCTGGATTACTTTGCTTGACCTGCTGCCACCACGACCTGACCTTGGATAAGCTGAAAAAAAAAAATGGATGGATGGATATATTGCATGTGTGTCCATCCTGGAAGAGGAATCCCTCTTCTGCAGTGTTTCCTTATCCAAATCAAGGGTCTAAGGCAGTGCTCAGCAGTCAAAAAAAATAAAAAAATAAAATAAATCAGATTCATAAAAGTAGTTTTAGGACTGTATTTGAAGGCAGATATAAGTTTTCCCATCAGAATCTTATGTTGCTGTAAAACTCAACTGGCAAAAAATGACTCATACACACAAAAGTATGCTTTTTGCTGCACTGTGAGACTTGAAATGCAATTGACAAGTTATCCAACTCAGCTTATACACCTATGGGCAAATTAGTCTCCAGTTAAGCCAACCTGCATGTGTTTGGGCTGTGGGAGGAAACTAGAGCTCCCAGAGAAAACCGCCATCTTTACATTAAAATATCCCCAGCATGGCCCCAGCTGGCTGGTGCAGTCACACCCAGTGGCTTCTTGCTGGGAAGTGAATGTATTAAAGATGATTACAAAACAACCCCAAGATAGTACGACCACATAAATAACCAAAATGCGACACTCAAACACCAAAAAATAATCCACACGCACTCACACACAAAAAAAGAGAAGAAAAGAAAATCACATCACAAAAATATTCACATGTGAAGAACCCCATCATTATAACAGAGCACCTTTCACAACCCACCCACCTCTCTGAACCACTGGACCAATAATACACTTGTACATACAATATATCTGCATACGCTTTAAAGAGTATGTTGTGTGGTTCCCTCTTAATTTTAAGGCTTTCGATTGGTCTATATGATGTTGTTGTCTCTTTTGTCTTGGTGTCCTGTCTGTCTGTCTTCTAACTGGTGGAACATGTGGTCAAAAGGTCAAAAGGTGACTCCCACATGAGAAAAAACCACAGGAGCGTCAGAATGTCACTCATTAAAGTTAAGTTAACTACCTGGGTTTATGTGGGCGTACATAAAGGTGTAGTCAGGAACCATGAATCTACATGTGTGTGTGTGTGTGTGTGTGTGTGTAATTCAGAGCATGTTTATGTGTTGATTTTCCAATCTCCCTTCTGTTGGTTGTCGTGAAAGCGTCGCCGCGGCAACAGAAAATCGCCACAGTAACACATCATCACGCCGCCCACAGCCTCTCAGCAGGGAACAGTCGCTGACATAGAGTAACCCACTGTCGAAAGCGTGCGTGTGTCTTACTGTATGTGTGTTTGTGGCAATTGCAGCTTCAAGAGCTGATTGAGACTTGTGTGTTTATGCACCATACTGATGGCTTTGTATGTTTTAGCTAGAACTCCAAATGCCATACACTTTACATTATCGCACAGCCATGTACAGACGCTGAGATTGATTTCCTACCTTTAAGGCAACGTTTGGGAAAATTAACATTCACTGACTTGGAACTTGCCTGACATGGATAATCAATCACATTTTTTTAGGCCAATTATAATACATAGTCAGGATTATTTGCCTGTCTAAAAAGACAGCAGGGTTCACGCATGAAATAAAACAAGTGTCAAAATAATTTCACTAAGCTACATCAGTGACATTTTTGAACACTTTCACATTAAATGCTAAAGGAAAAGTATAAGCATTACACGATTATGCTCATGAACAGAATCAATTATGTCAATTATAGAAACTATATTTGCATTATAATAAATCTATTTTAGAATATTACAACATATCGACCCCCTGAAACTAAGAATGAAATCTATACAAGACTGAGTTGTTGGTTAAATAGATTTAAAAAAAAAATCCAATTTGCTTTTTCCCATGTGCCAAACACACACACACACACATACATCCATACAATGTATACGCCTACACACGCCTAACCAATCTGGGAGAGTTCATGCTCTGGTATTTTCCTGACATTTCATTTCAATCCATTCCATGTGTGTGAAACACCTGCTCTAACATGGCTACACACACACACACACACACACACACACACACGCACACACACACACACAGCATACCAGATCGTCCATAGATGCTGGTAATGTACATTATGTTGCTGCTTTTACCTCTGTAAATTACTAGCTGTGTGTGTGTGTGTGTGTGTGTGTGTGTGTGTGTGTGTGTGTGTGTGTGTGTGTGTGTGTGTGTGTGTGTGTGCGTGTGTGCAAGTATGTTGGTTCAACCTGAACCTTTAAAGCTGGGAGGAAAAAGTGACAACCCCATTACTAAATACTAACCCTCTGGCCCAGACATCCAGACATCCTCCCCTCTCTCCCTCTGTTTTTCAACAACACTTGACATTTCTACCACATAAATACCATTTGATCACCTGGATGTGGGACAGCAGGGTTGGAGAGAGA